TATTTGTATTGTTTCAGGCATAAACACCATTGCGTATAACTGGTATATCCTGCAGAATTTCTTTGCTGTCAAATGCCAAATAAAAGCTGGAATGTGTATAATTTACTTTTTTTAAATGTCAAAAAAATTTTAATTTGTCCTTGTGGGTGTAACCCACTTCTTGTAAAGCATTAACGCATGAAGTATTTTAGTAATGTTGAAGCCAGTGCCAATAATTAATATACCTTCATTCACTCAATATTAAAGTATGATTGTTTGAGCTTGCAGTTACTCCAAAAGACTGTTGTAACTCCATGATTTATAGGATTAGACAGAAATTTTGACTATATGAAATAAAAAGCAGTCAAATTTTATAGACGGAATGGCTGAATTGTACATTTTTTACCATTCTAATATATATTCTTTATTTCTTTATATTTTCTTTTATATTTTCTTTAAAGACTTCGGAGAGTTTTCTTCTCTTCAGAAAGTATTTAGTATGAGACAGAGGGCTCTGTGAGATCGTAGTTAAATACATCCCTTTAACAAAGCGGCTGCTCCTTCCTTCCGTCAACAATCGTCTCTTCAATGTAGTTTGCTAAATGCTATGAATAAGACATGCAATTCCCATTGCCAATGCCAGATCCAAGTCAGATTCTCCATATTAGAAGGAAAAAAAAATCATTCAGGAAGTGTCAGGTATTCAGCAATGCTACTGAAGCCCGGGCTGGACTTCCTGTGTTACCGCGGAAACCTGAAGCGGGGCCAAAGCGTGGGAGCCAGGCCTTGAAGGGATTGGCAGCGTGTGTGGTGAGGGACTGCGGTACAGCTGTGGCACTCTGCCTCATCACGCACAAAAAGGCGGATTGGTCAGAAACAGGGGGACCCGGGGAGGGGGGGGGGGCTGTGTGTGGGCGAGCTGGGCAAACACAGCTGGCTTTGGGGCTCCTCAGTGGGTCTTCGTCGAACACGTCGGAGATATTATCTTAGTGTTTACTCAGGGGATGATGTCTAATCCTTCAGGGCCGCTCAGTGTTCATCTCTGCCGTTCTGCCACAGTCACTCGTGTTTCCTCGTCTTTCTCTGTGATCTTCCCTTCGTGTTTTCCCACAAGCCGGAATGTAAACGATTCCCATTCTCCAACTGAAACATTTTGCGTTCCCCTGGGCTCTAGTCTCGTCGCCCTAATGTTTTGCCCCCTGGCAATGTAATTATTCCACTGCTGCACTGGACCAGAACTTCCTGTTAATGTTCTGGTTCTTGGTTGTTTTTCCATCATGGTCTTTCACATGCAGAACCGTAACAAACCAGTTTCAGCACTACAACGTGCTGGGAATCTTTTTCAGCTGGCACTTGTGTCCCAGGATGACTTAAACATAATGGCATCACGCGGTAGTGGAAAGTTTCACACAACAGAGACTTTTTTTCTGTTTTGCCCTGTTTGTAAGTTTCCTTAATATGGTTTACAGTAAATATTGTAAACGTAAGGCAAAATGATGTCCACACGGGCCTCTTTCACCTCGTCACGCTAACGGGAAGATTGGTATAAATAATCAGTTTTGTCAGACTTCAGGATACGCTGGACGTTCATCAATGGACAGAATACTTGTTATTCATACACTTAAAGCCTCTGTTAGATGCTATTGGCTAAGCAAGAAGCGGATAATGCTATGTGTTTTCATGAGAGGCCGAAGTGTTTCTATGGCGACTTCACTCACCAGGCCTCCACATGTACCGCTGCAAAACTGCGAACCGATCTATGTACAACTCACAAAATCGCAACGCGAAAACGTAAAAAGACATCTGTAAAGAAGGTTGAAAAAATACTTTTTTAAAAACAACTTAAATACTGGGCGAAATAAAATACAAAATATTATAGTTTTTTGCATACATAAAATAATATTTAAATTATACTGATAAATAAATACAATTTATATATGTAATGCTTATACTTGCTCCACATTATAATATTGTGCCATATTGTGTTTTCTGTGAGATAGTTTAAAAAAGAAAGAAAAATGTATTGTTTCCTATAAAGTCTGGTACAGCCATCAAACATCTATCTATCTATCTATCTATCTATCTATCTATCTATCTATCTATCTATCTATCTATTTAATGCCTGTGCAATTTAATCATTATCATTTATGCATTTCCTTTATTTTAGTCAATTAAATGTTTTTCTGATGCTGTTGTCTTGTTGTGGGAGGATGTTAAACTGGTTTAAACTATTTCATTTTAGGAAGAACAGTTTCAGGTGTTTTTTTTCCCTACGTTTTCTTAGATAAACGTCAGATTGTGAACGTAGACATTGTAAAGCTCCTTATTTTTCTTAAGCTCCTGCTCTGCCCCCTACTGGTCAATTTGAGTTAAAGTAATCTATCGCTAATCGTTTGACAGTGTTGTTGAAACAATACTGATTCTATCCAAGATCACTGTTTAAATGGCATTTTGTATTTTTTTGGAAATTGTATTTGAACATTTCATTAATGACAAATAAAAATAAATGAAGTATATTGCAGTATATTTTTCTACTATAAGATCAACTGTGTTGTTGTGTGCTAAAATATATATTTTTCTATACTTATTTAAATCATTTGCAGTTTTCACCCAAATTCAACAGCAGTGTAGAAGTCTCCCCAGAGTTCAATTAAATTTCTTGGATAAAAATCATAATACATCTATGCTATGTGTTTAAAATAAAATGGGCCATTAGTTATTAATCAGCCATAATTGGTTGCTATGGATCTAATATTTTTTGGAACATATTACTCAAAGATTACTTCTAGAAACAGCTGAAGCTTGTCAATCAAAAGACCTTATTAGGAAAAGGTAGCTTGTTTGTACAATATACAGCAACTAACAAAGTGATTTGCACAATATCATTATTGACATATTTATTTGATATACGATTTAGGCAAGTCACGTTATTTTAATCGTTCGTCATGATGGTCGTGTGCTGCTGTCCCTTTCTTGAGGTGCCCTCTGCCCTTCAACATCCCTTTTAGCCACTAAAAACCTTTCAAACTCTTATTCAGCTTTGGGGAGTAAACAAAGTAAAACAAAGAATGATCTGAGGTGGGACGCATCGGGCTTGGGCACAGTTCACTGTTAGGACTGACCCGGTGATGCAGTGAAATAACCGAGCCGTGATGCCGATGATGCAGTGAAATAACCGAGCCGTGATGCCGGTGATGCAGTGAAATAACCGAGCCGTGATGCCGATGATGCAGTGAAATAACCGA